CCATACACCTTTTCTTTGATCCAAAAGGAAAACGAAGTCAGCGTCACGAAGAGATGTCTTGTTAATTTTTCCATTGGAAAATTTGAAGACCAAGTTTGGTGTGATGTCGTCCCGATGGATGCTTTTCATCTTCTGTTAGGCCGACCTTGGCAATTTGACAGGAAGACAGTACATGATGGAGAATCGAACACGTACTCGTTCAAACATCAGAACAGGAAAATTGTGCTGGTTCCTATTAGCGAGGGTCAGTTCGCAAGAAGTAATCCGCAGCTACTTACCAAATCCATGTTCTTGAAGACTCTCAAAGAGGAGGGTGTTGGGCTACTCCTGGTTGTTCTATTCAGCAATGATACTGTCGATAACTATAACAATGGGGTCCAGGATGTTCTTGAGGAGTTTGCAGATGTGATGACCGATGTGCTCCCTTCTAAGTTGCCCCCTGAGAGACAGATTCAACACGCTGTTGAATTTGTACCTGGAGCCGTTATTCCTAACCGTACTGCTTACAGGCTTCGCCCTGATGAACAGGCTGAACTCAAACGACAAGTGCAGGAGCTACTACACAAAGGATTTGTGCGGCATAGTGTAAGTCCTTGTGCCGTCCCCGCGTTATTAGTTCCTAAGAAAGACGGGACTTACAGAATGTGTATAGACAGCCGGGCTGTCAATAAAATTACTGTTAAATACCAGTTCCCCATTCCCCGCATTGATGACATGTTCGACCAGCTGCAGGGAGCTACGATCTTCTCCAAGATTGACCTGAGAAGTGGTTATCTTCATATTAGGATGAAGATGGGAGACGAGTGGAAGACTGCTTTTAAGACGCATGACGGTCTATATGAATGGTTGGTGATGCCATTCGGCTTAACCAATGCCCCCAGCACTTTCATGAGACTAATGAATCACATTCTCCAGCCTTTCCTTTATAAGTTCGTGATAGCTTATTTTGATGATGTACTCATCTACAGTATTGATCTTCAGGAACACCGAATTCACCTTCGAAATGTGTTTACAGTCCTACGAGAACAACAGTTGTTTGCGAACAGAGAAAAGTTCCAGTTTGCTGTGACTGAGATATCTTTTCTAGGATATAAATTATCAGCTAAAGGATTGCATGTGGACTGGGAAAAGATTGAAGCAGTGCGTAGCTGGCCTGTTCCGCAGTCTTTTACAGATATCAGACAATTCCTTGAACTCGCTTCATTCTACCGCAGATTTATAAAGGGCTTCAGTACAGTGGCTGCCCCATGACAGAACTGTTAAAATCTGATCATTTTGAGTGGACTAAGGATGCTCAAACGAGCTTTGACACTTTGAAGATGCACTTATCGTCAGCGCCCACGCGTCAGCGCCCACGCTAATACTTCCCAATTTCTCTCAAGCTTTTGAAGTCGAATGTGATGCTTCTAACCTGGGAGTAGGTCCCGTGCTTACCCAAGGTGGTTATCTCGTGGCCTACTTCAGTGAAAAGTTAAGTGAAGCTCGTCGGAAGTATTCAACCTATGATAAAGAGTTTTACGCCATCATTAGAGCTCTACAACATTGGAACCATTATTTGCTTGCGAACGAGTTCATATTATACTCAGATCATGAAGCCTTGAGGTACCTAAGTCATCAGAAGAAGTTGAAGGCTCGGCATGCTCAGTGGTCCGAATTCCTGTCGTCATTTCATTATGTGCTCAAACATAAGGCTGGACACAACAACCAGGTGGCTGATGCACTCAGCCGACGCCATCTATTGCTTCAAACGTTGCACCACAAAATTGTGGGATTTGAAGTGATCAAAGATTTATACCGTCATGATCCAGATTTTAAAACAATGTGGGAACAATGTCACAGTGGCAACTGTAAACAATTCCATTTAAAGGAAGGATATCTTTTCTTTGGGAAGCGACTTTGTGTGCCAAATTGCTCTCTCAGATTAGCTCTTTTGGCAGAAAGTCATGATGGAGGATTGGCTGGGCATTTTGGGAGGGATAAGACCATTAGTCTGTTATCGGAAAACTTCTTTTGGCCTGCCTTAAAGAAGAATGTAGGACGATATGTGCAAAGTTGTAGTGTCTGTAAACGAGCTAAGACTTCCGGTTCCAATGCGGGATTGTATACACCTCTGCCGGTTCCTTCTTAATTCTCCATGGGTGGATATAAGTTTGGATTTCGTAGTCGGATTGCCCCGTACCCAGAGGAATAAGGACTCCATTATGGTTGTCGTGGATCGGTTCTCTAAAATGGTTCATTTTGTAGCTTGCACAAAGACTTTGGATGCCACACACGTCGCGGATTTGTTCTTCAGAGAGATCGTTCGTCTTCATGGGATCCCGAGAACTATCACCTCTGATCGGGATGTAAAGTTCTTGAGTCATTTTTGGAGGACTCTTTGGGGAAAATTTGGCACTCGTTTGCAATTTAGCTCGGCTGCCCACCCTCAAACAGACGGACAAACTGAAACCGTTAATCGCAGTCTGGGTAATCTGTTGAGGTGTTTTGTTGGGAAGAATATCCGTCAGTGGGACCTCATCTTAGCTCAGATCGAGTTTTCCTTTAACCAATCTGTTAATCAAGCTACCAAGTGCAGCCCCTTTGAGGTCGCTTATGGGTACAATCCCATTACTCCGCTGGATCTCATACCAGATACACCTCCTTCTGTTTTCAGTATTGATGGTGAACAGCGTAGTCGAGAAATACAGCAGTTGCATAAGACCGTTCAAGAAACCATTGCAAAGCACAATGCCAAGTGTAAGAACCAAGCTAACAAGCATCGACGGAAAGTTGAATTTAAAGAAGGTGATATGGTCTGGATTCATCTCCGGAAAGATCGTTTTCCGCTAGGAGCTTTCGCGAAGTTAAAACCCAAGGCTGATGGCCCTTTTCGCATTATTAAAAAGTTCAATGATAATGCCTACCAGATTGACCTTCCAGGCGGTTATAACATCTCTGCTACCTTTAACGTGGCTGATCTAACGCCTCACTATGAGCTAGATGATTCGCCTACCCCGGGAGAATGACACCGGAGTGTCCCCTGTTTCAGTCACATCGCCTCCTCTATTTTTGTTTCTCTTATTTCATTTGTAATAATCGTTTTTCTTTACATGTGAATACGCATATAGCTTTTCCTGTAGCTGAGTGAATTTTCAGCGGCTATAAAGCCTGTTCAAATAAAGGCGGGAGACAGACTGTTTGAGATCAAAATCCTTGTTAATTATTTTTGAATTTTCTGTATCCTGCAGGAGTACAGGTGGTGATCGGAGCTCGACCAAGGAGAGAGATTCCTCCGTTGAGCTCTCGGGAGAAGGTAAGCTTTGCTTTCGTCTCCTAAGCGCAAGCTGTTCTTTCATCATCCTACCGGCCGGTGACAGTCCCCCTAGAGGGAGGACCACTTATACAAGCGCTTCTAGAAAAATGATTAGAATATATCTTAATTGTAATTATGTAACAAAATTTTGAATGAAATTAGATGAAAATTGTTTAAATTGTTTAAAATTTGGTTGTGAATCTGTGTTTGTCATCGTGTGTGTGTATAAATATAAATAAAGATAGAGAGAGAGAGAGAGAGAGAGAGAGAGAGAGAGAGAGAGAGAGAGAGAGAGAGAGAATGAATTCTTTGGCGCAAGCAAAGAGTGAACTATGGAATGTCTTAAATAGGTGATTTTCTCTCTTAGGTGAGGATCAATGAGATTTTTCTAGCAACAACAATGCTCTCAAGGGTGCCTCAAAACGATTACATGAGGATTCTCAACACCACCCAAGAGGGACAATGCCTTTTTCAAATATTATAAAAATTTTAAATTTATATGAGATGTACTATTTTTTATTGTATATTATTGCATTTACATTCTTACAATTACCACATGTGAGGTATGACAGTAATTCACCTTACAAGCCCCAAGATTTGTGCATTAAAACGAAAGTGAATGGATGTCAATAATATGACTCAATGTATGCTAGCAATTTGTGTAAATAACCTTTAGGTTTCTTGATGTTATAAAAGGAGATTAATCTTCAACTTGCTGGCCTCCCTAGTTTATTAGAGATTTCAAGCTTCCCTATGTTTCTGGGAGACTTGCGAGGAACTTGCTCATGCATCCATATGTACAAGGCATCCAATCCAATGCCTTATGATTATAATAAGTTTTTTTTTTCTAAAACTCTTCTTAAAGTGAACTTTTAATGAGAATCTCAGGGCAGAAGGATGATGACCCCAGAAGATAGAACTTCCACATTATTAATTCTTATAAGAAGAGTCTTTAGACAGAAACATTTGTAGAAATAATGTATGTTAAGGGCCTTGATCTCCAACCGAATGTCATTTGCCAGTTTGTAGCTCCCACAAGCTACTCTCCATCCGAACGACAAATGAAAACACATTTATACATTTTATCTTAATTGGCTTAGTATAGTGCGACGCCAATATTGACATAGCATTATTCACATAAACGCATTTTTTTAATGTGGGAGAATGAAGATGAAAAAGAATATACACAAAACATTCACTTTTTGTGTGTAAGAAATGGAATTCGATTGGAGATGAATCACTATTTGATATGACTGTTACTATATTTTTGAAGTAGAAAATGGATTGTTCGGTTAAATATTCCCTAAGTAAGCTTTGTCAAAGGTTGCTAAACTGATTTTGTTTACGAGAATTTTTTAAAGAAAAATAACTATATTGCGAGTAATTTTGCTCTGCTAAATTTTATTTAAAAAAAAAAAGCAAATTTTGCGTTTCACACCAAGTTTTCACCATTTAAGCGTAGTGAAAGCTGCTGAAACATTGCATTTACTGAAAAAAGATAAACATTTCTACCATTTGTAAGCTTTGTACAATGCCATACCAAAGAAAAAAAACCAAATTCAAATAACTCCAAGCAGAAATTGAGACAACATTCATATAGTTTATAGGCTTGAAATACAGCCCAATACAGTAAAACCACTCATTTTAACAAAAAACTGAAGTTAGTTCCAGATGACAATTATTCTAATACTTTCTCTTTTTACTGCAAATTCAATTAACTCATCATTCTATCTTAAATAATTAAAATTAAGAAATCATTAACAACAATCTTGCTAACACTTCTGCAGATTAACACCACTAATATGATTATGATTAACTGCTAACATGCAAAGAAGAAAATAGTAGTTCTGACAAATGAAATCCCTCACAAATTACTCCAACATAGGATGACAATGCACAAATTTGAAGAAGTTATATGTTGGTGATCAGTCTTCCAGAAAGAGAGAATCCAATAGAGAGAGAGAAAGAGCTACTGGTAGAAATTAAAGGGAAATAAGTGGTTTTTTTCTTGTCTGCAAAAGTACAAAAGGGAAGGAAAGGGAGTAACAAAGAAAAGGGGGAGTCAATACCCGAACCAACACCCTTGCATGGTGGAGTGCTCAATATTTAAACTTGATTTTTAAGGTTAATATGAACACACCACGTGGCAAGGATAGTCTGAGGTGCGTTCTTGACTACTTCCGACATCCAATAATTTCTCTGGCTATTTCCTGTAAATCTTTTGGTCCTCTTCAGATCCTGTGAAACCAAAAGAAAACAAAGTTCAGAGATGATTAATAGTGTAGTTAGTTCAAATAAGAATTTAAGATAAATTTTATAAAACTATAATTAAACCATCATATATGGAAGATCAAAGTTATTAGTAGTAAGTTTACTGTAATTACTAATAATATTAAAATGAATGTGTGCTAAATCTTGCAAACACTTAGTGCTATAGCATAAAATCAAAATTAACAAAGAAATTAAAGGGAAATAAGTGGTTATTTATTGTTTGTTGAATCTTACTTTACTTTTTTTGGCCTTGACACCAATCTATGTAAAGTGATATAAGAGGCCGAAAAATAATTTTCAAATGAAGTGAAATTCAACCACCCATAGATTGGAAACTCTCTAGTCTATAAATGCAAGTTATGTACTTTTGTATTGAATTATTGTCAAAATAAAATAAATTTTCTTGTACAAATCTTTAATAGGAAAACTTCTACTACTTGGAGAAGAAAAATTCTTGTAATTTTATGAACACAAAATTTATCCTTTAGCTTCCTTAAACCTTCTTTCTCTTCCTTGACAAGTGTTAGGACTACACCTCCTTAAACATTATTCCACAAGCTATCACCTTTAATCCTCCTGCAAGTTTATTAGATTCCATCTATCATCCTAAAAGCCTACTAACTCAGTTGGATACTGACCTAATACCAAACATGAGAAAGGGCTCGACCTCCCTCTTCAGCCCAACTACCCAAGCCTCCCCCCTCTTCCTCAAAGTTATCATCCAATCCACCTTCATACCTCTCTCTCTCTCTCTCTCTCTCTCTCTCTCTCTCTCTCTCTCTCTCTCTCTCTCTCCATCCATTAAAACATCAATCCACTCCATTCAATAACTCCATAGTATAAACTGTATCATTTGTCCAACATAAATTAGGACCTAATTCCAAACCTTAATCTGTCTCAACTCAGCATAATGGTTGGGAGCATTCACTTACACTGCATAGTTCATAGGTTTAAGGTATTGCACATTTACATGTGTTCATGGTTGAATTTTTCGTAATTATTAGGACTTTCACCTCACCAATGAGCAAGCTAATGCCTTCACCATCAAGATCCAATTGGGGCCTCCATCACTTAGGCCCTCTTTGGTTTGAGGTAGGAGAGGAAATGAAAAGAAAGTAAAATTGGAAATGGTAAAGGGATTAAAAAGAATTCCACTTGGTTAAAAATAATTAATTTATTGTGATTATTTCTAATAAATTGAAATCTCACTTAATGTGACAAAGAACTACAAGATTTCAAAGCAACTAATGTTTAGACTAAAAACTCCTATAATTGAGTTTGAGATCATAAAAATTTTAATTTTTAGTTTACCCTAAAAACTCTAGTGTGGTTAGAAGAGCCTAGTGATAAGTCTAAATGTGCTTATCGAGCTCTAAAAAGCATAATAGGAAACATCTAAGATCATTTGGGCACATAATTCATCTTCCAAATTTTGTGTTCTTATAATTGAAATTGAATCAAAATAATAAATGAAAAAAGTCCAATTTCATTCAATTTTAAATTCATTAAAGCATTAAGATATCCAAAATATATAAAATCATCAAATGTGATATATATTTTAATACCATATGACGGAGTGCCTAAAATCAGCATAGAAATGATCATAACACCCCCTAATAAAATTCATATTTATATACATTCAGGGAGAGAATTTTCATTTGTGAGAAATCCAAAATTCATAAATATTTTAGAGCTTTGCCCATCATTGCCCGACATTGATTGTTGACAAGCACTAATTGTCAAAATTTCCATATAACATTGTTCATCGACCAACATTAACACCCATGATCATCACCAACACTTATCAGAAACCACTAGTCAACATCGATGCCCATCATTGCCATTGATCTGATGATGCAAGTTTCGGCTAACAACAATGATCACCATCATTAATATTCAACTCATGTCAAGTATTGAAGTTCAATTTCCATCTTCTAAGTTGATTGGTTCCCCCTTTTATAAGGAAAATGATAGGGTCATTACTTTTAATTTAATCATGGTTGAACTTCTGATTTTTCTCGTCAATTGTTGCCACTGACATCCAATGTTCATCTTTTTAGTGACACAATCTTCACTTATATTAAAAGAATAAATGAACTAACTTCTCATCATCTTGGAATCATGATATTCCCCATCGATCATCATTATCTGGCACTTGTAAATGGCTATCATCTTATGCCATTTTATTTGTCACTCATCCTTACCTCTTATTAAGAGAAGATCAGACCAACAGTCAATTATTTCCCCACTTTTGGCATTCCACGGTATTCATCATCTAATGCTTACAAGGTTCCACATTCATCAACCAATAATGTGTAATGCCCATCTTATTGATTGCACAATCTCCCTTTCTATTAAGATAATGATCAAGTCGACCACCATTGATGCCTGAATTTCAATGCCCAATATTATTTGACGGCTAATGTTTATTGCTATAGCATGTCTCTTACACCTCTAAACCCTTCCTACTATCACCATAGAAGATCATTTCCATTGTTTATGCTTATAACATTGTATTAACACCTCTATAATTTTGGGGAAATATATCATTTGTAATCTCTAACTCATACTAATGGAGTCAATTCAATTAAGCTTCACCTGATTATTTTTTCTTTTCATTTTGAAATTTTTACTAGAAAAACAATTTATATATGTGTATGCAGGATCTTCATGCAACACTAGGACGATAAACTCCATATACCACGATGAAAAATTCTACTATACAATACTTATCATTTTCTAGAAGTGTTGGATAAGAAAGTATTGTTCAATAAAAGTAATTTTGTTTACATGTCTTAGATATATAAATCCAATTAGATATTAATTATATTGGAATAAAACCCCCACTATTAAAATGTGAAATAAAATGCATTTATATTTCTCTAATTTCCTCAAACCAAGTAAACCTTTAAATTCTTTCTTTTTCACTTCTCGAAATCCAAGAAGATTGAGACAGGCCAAACTAAAAATCAGAAGTTTGATTTTGGTGTTGCATATATTGTGTATATCTAATTTATATTGAAGCCAAATTTTCCTGAATCATAAAAGAATGTTAGTATGGATGTATATCTTTATGCCTGAAACTTAAATCTTTAAATAACATTAAAGACCTTATCCTTGATCCATAGTGAGATACTAAAAAAAAAGACCTTGTCCTACATATGAAGACCATTCATACACTAAAAAATTAAACTAGTGCGTTAATCTCCATTTAAAAACCAAATATTTCCTACTGCATGTCACAAGGATGAAGAACCTTAGATTTAGGCTTCGTTTGGGACGGTTTTCTTTTTACTTTTTAAAGCAGCTTTCTAGTAAAAAAATTTTAATTTTATCTTAGAAAATTGTTTTAAGAAGCAGTAAGAAAGCCGTCCCAAACGAAGCCTTAGCCCTCACAAACTTCCAAAACTAACATGAAGAAATCATTCTAATCCTTCAAACAAATAGCAAAAGCATAACTACATATATAATTAACAACACCAACAACTAAAACTTTCCTACTTACCATTGATTTGTAAGAGCCCTTAGGCTCATTGTGGGTTTTCGCCCGATACAGCAGCCTTGATCCTTTCCACAGTGCATGCAATTAGGCTGTTGACCGTTGCAACCGAACCAAGCGAGAGCTTTGCTGTTGGTATTGAATCAACTAGTATCTGGAATGCCACTGTAAGTAGGGAACCACCAGAACCAACTTCCCCAATTCCACTTCCACCACCTTGAACTCCATTCGAACCATCAGGGAGGATGGCGAAACCTGAAGGCAAGAGAGCCACATAGTCGGGATCGCCGCCATTGAGAACTACATTCATGGCAACCACATCAACGGGAGCATAAATCACATAGGAGCCTGTGGGATCAGTACAACTCTCTTGGAGTATCAGCATATTGCTTTGATTTGAATTTGTGCTCTGCTATCAGAAAAAAAAAAAGATGAAATCAGGTAAAGTTACTTTCTTGATTGTTTAAAAATTTTAAAATGACTTACATTAACACGGAGGAGGGAGACACAGTTTCCATGATCACGACCATTGGCAATATGAGCCATCTCTTGAACTACACCGCCGTTTGAGAGGATGTCCCACTGTCAGTGTTGAAGTGTCATGAAGTGATGAAATCATCATTCATTAGCTTCTATATAAAGCTTACAAGAAGAAAACATTTAAAGGCAAGTTCTACACTAGTTTCTCTTCATTCCACGCTAACAAAAGTAAATAAATAAAGAGAAAAGTTGGCTAAATCACATAAAAATCACATAAAATCGATTTGATACTGATTGGCCAAGAACGAAAATTTAATATCCTTGAGGGATACTTCTTGATAATCACAACATGACTATTCTCCTCCAAGTCGGATACAAATTTTGTGCGTTGAGGATTTAGTTGTAGCAATGACAACTTATTCAATTCCTCAAATTCTTAAATTTTGTAAATGCGATAGCAGAGAAGATTCAAATGTCACTTGAACAAATCCAAGCAAATAATGCTAAGCTAACATACCTCGCTGCGTGAACTTTCATCACGGAGGAAATCAAACACCCTTTTTGGAGACACAGGAAGCCAAAATGATGTTGCAGCATTTAAAACAATACCAGGAGGCCTTCCTGGGTCATCAACACTTTTTCGTGTCATTACCCTCACATCTTCTGCTCCACTTCCAGACAATGTAGTCCATTGATGAGTAGTTGAGGCACTCACCCCTCCACAAAAGCTAAGTACCATCCTCTCTGCCAGCTTCAACATGCTCTTCCTCCCCTCTGGTGTTGTTATCACTGTTACATCAATTGAACAGACAAAATTCACACACTAACACAACTGTTAAAACTCATGTGTTGCTCATGATTCATTATGAACATTTTTATACAATATTGTTGCATACTTACCTCCAATTTCTCCTGAAGGAATGCTACTAGCCATGACACTTGCAAGGCGTTCACACTGTCGATCCAAAGTAGAAACCCACCTTTTAGCCCCAAATGCAATGCCTGAGTTCACTAATGGCTTGTAGATACTATGAACAGACCTATCATCAACTTCAACATGTTCCACCCAAATCACCTAAACAACATTACAAAAAAGTTTTACCATGATCATAAACGATATTGCAAGTTATAAACTAAGCAAGATGTGTAAATTTGAATACTAAAGCTATGATTTCCACCTTAGAGTAGCCATTAGGCATTTCTTGTATCAAACATCCTGATGGTCTTCTTCGACATCTCATCAAGGCAGTGCTTGGGCGAAGACCATCCAAGGAAACATCGACGACAGCCCAGGTTCCATCTGGATGCTGCTTGCAGTATCTAACAAAGTAGCTCTCACGAGTTGGAACAAGAGGGGATGGAACTTGGAATTCAGCTGTCATCTGAATAAAAGAGCGAGTCATATAAGTATCGATCTGAATACTCTTAATATGAGAAAGAGGAAGGAAAACTGCTAAGTTCATTCTTGCATAGATGTCTAAACTGTAATTCAAATGTCATATACTGAAAAACATATGAGATAATTAAATTAACCAACCTTCATTAACCACTGAAAACTATAGAGAAGATGTTTCAAACGCGATAATCTGAGTTCTGATATATGAAAGATTAAGATAAGCATGAGCTCTACACTGAGGCTTTGTTTGGGACGGCCTTCTTACTGCTTCTTAAAATAGCTTTTTAGTAAAAAATAAAATGCTTATACTAAAAAGCTGCTTTAAAAAACAGTAAGAAAGCCGTCCCAAACGATTGAGTTAATCAAGAGTCATGTGTACAACTAATAATAATAATAATAATAATAAAAAACAAATACTGGGATGATGACTGTTGAAATGTAGCACTCGGCTATTAAAAAAATAAGCAAAATCATACCACTTGCAATGCACCGTTGTAGTTTCCTGCCACTCCAGTTGATAATACCTCGAGAGTCATCCCCCTCGATACAATGCCGGAGAACATTGTCGACCATTGATTCTATAAGGAGTAAAAAGCATTAAATTCTGATAAAAGAATTTATTCTTACAAAGTAAATAAAAAACTATGTAAAAGCACTGTAAATTTGTGTCTCTTTCAAAGCAATTTTCTCATATAAAAGCTCATGAAGGATTTACTAAATAAATGAATTAGCAACATACCGGATCCATGAGAATCTCAACCAGATTAACATGGCTCATAATCACAACCGCCGTTTCCCTGGAAGCCTCCGACTTCAACCCAAAAGGCTTGGGCCCAATCCCTCTTGGAAAATTCTGCACATACTCTTCTTCATTCAGAATCTCATTAGCTCCATCCAAACATGGACTACTCCACAGTGGTTCTCCAAGCTGAGCCATCCTGATCAGTTCTTCCATGGCGGCAACCGCTAGCTCAATAACCATGGGCTTGTCAACTTCCGGCTGGCCGGCAACGGTCCTTAGTAGTTCAGCGGCGGAGAACATCTCGCCACCCATTGTTGGAGAATGAAGACCGAAGCCGCCGACGCCGAGATCCAAAGGTGAGCGAGATGGGAGAGTGGGGGAGAGGAGTGAGTATGAGTTCATTGGCTTGCCTACGTATTTTGCAGCAATGCCTGAGATTCTGTCAATCTGGGAAAATTATTCATCATCATACTTTGTTTCTCGTTCTTCATATATTTTTGATTATTAAGCAGCTAGCCCAAAAGGATTAGAGTTAATTAATTAAATCGTTTAATTACCTCTTCTCTTAGCCTGGCGTTCTCAATCCTGAGGTGGTGCTCATCAAAAGACATCTCGCCAAGGGCTGCAGGGCCGCCGCAGTTAGGGCAGGAGGCATTGCTCAGAGCCTCCTTATAGCGGAGGTTCTCATTGCGTAGCTTGTCGTTATCAGATCTAAGCTGTGAATTCTCTTGCCTGTCATGCTGTGTCTGTTTATGGAAGAAGAAGAGGAGATATTGATTAATACTTTAAATTCATAGATAGTTAAAAATAAAGAAGTTTCAGAACAAGATAAGCAAGTAGTACTGCTATTGTTGTTCAATTGGAGATTAATTTTTTATTAACTGTAGACTAATTTGGGAGAAGATGTGAAGATCCAGTGGGAATCTTGCTTTATATCTGCTCAAAAGCATTCGATTCTATTAGCTTGTGAGGAGTCCAATCGGATCAGCCCGTTTACAAGCCAACTTTGGTTCACTTATTTCGAACACTTATTTATAATATTATTTTCAATTTATTCTTTTGAGCTTCTTTATTTTTTGGAACTTGCATAGTGCCTTATCCATGTATGTATAAAGTGGCATAAAGACATTAATTTAAATATAAAATATGATTCTAGTTAGTTTTTTTGGGGGAATTTTGGTCAATTAAATCAAACTCACACACACATCACATACGTACACTAAACTCGAATCCAAAACTATCATCTTGATTGATAGTTAAAGCTCTCAAACAACATACCAAATTGAGCCGCGTAGTACGTAAGATTTATTTGATTCATGAATTAATAAATCAAGTTTGATTCTAGCTTGAGCTTCCCAATTATAACTGGCTCATTAAAGTATACTAGTATAGATCCACGATAAAATTAGATTTATCGAGTCAAATTCATCGTCTCAGGCCTCGTTTGGGACGGCTCTCTTACTGCTTCCTAAAGAAGTTTTTTTAGTACAAAAAATTTTTGTACTATAAAACTAATTTAAGAAGCAGTAAGAAAGTCATCCCAAACAAAGCCTTAATTAGAATGAATGTTTAAAACTAGTACAACATTCAATAATTCACTATTATATATCTCATGCCCTAACCCTAAAACTTTTGAAAAATTAAAAAATGTAATAATAATAGAATGCATTTTATGAAAAAATAACCAGCACACTAGAGAATCATGATCTAAACCCTAGCTATTACTACTTAAGCACATTTTAGAGTTTTTCATACCTTCATTTGTGTGCGTTTGTTCTGAAACCAAAACTTCACTTGAAGAGGCTCCAATCCCAGCTCCCTGCTCAGCTCTTTCCTCTGCTTGTCATCTGGGTGCGGGCAGTCCTTAAAGAAACTGAACAAAGTATAAAAACCAGTTACTTGGATTCTAGCTCTTACATGGAAACCCTAGCTAACTTGTGCAGACACTTCATATAGACATCTTACGCTTCCATTTCCTGAATTTGGTGCTGAGTGTGCCTGTGGTATCTCTTCTTCCTCGGCCTCTGGTTGGGGTCCTGTTCATCGCCGGAGGCACCCTCGATGTTATCACTGCCGGACTTGCTCTCGAAGTCATCTTCTCGAGTTCTGATCATCTCGCTCTCCGCCGTCGTTGTCGCTTGTGTGCTCAAATCGACGAGCTGGTGTTGAAGAGGGAGTTGCTGGCCTTCCAATATGTTGGTCTGCAGGTTAGAAGGAAGAAGTACAAGATCTGCTTATGAATGAGAGATAGTAAGTATAATTGGCGTATAGCATAAATTCACATCTTTATAGCACATTTATTAATGTAGCATGTTGTATATATTATATTAAATATTAATATTTTAAAATGTTGTTAAAAAATGTAGTGCACAATGGGGAAAAAAACAATATTTCCCCTTAAGTAAATTAAAAGGGAACAAAGCCTCATTCAGGAATGGCTTAGATCTGTTGCTTGTGATCCTTCAAACTACAAGTTTCACAGGAAATTAATGAGGAAGGTGATCAAGATATATTTAATGGAGTAGATCTTAACAGACTAAGAGAAATGGAGCAAAACCTCTCTCTCTCTCTCTCTCTCTCTCTCTCTCTCTCTCTCTTATTTAGGTTGCATATGTATGAAGTCAAGAAAAAACACTAAGCAAGCTCAACTGCAAGGTTGAAAAAGCTTTGGCTTATCATTCCTTCCTGCAGAAACCCTAACACTTTGCAGGCTAAGCTTTATATTAAAGCATGGAGATCATGAGCAAACTAACTATTAAAAACAAATAAATAAAAAGAAATGACTAGGTTTGACTCTACTGACCTGAGCTAGGGTCAACGCTGAAGAGTTCCTACCGATCATCGAAGGCACATGTCTTGACGGAATCATGATGCCGGCGGGCATATTTTTGATGCACCAAACCCTAATTTCTTCTCTCACTCGTGAACGACCGTTCACTTTCTCTCCTCTCTTTTTCCATTTCTTCACAGCTCAGTTCTTCATAGATTTAGGAAGAGGAAAGAGAAAGAACAATATCAACAGAAAGCTGAAGCAAAAAGAGAGAAAAAGATAGAAGAGGTAAGATCTACGTGAGTGCATGCAGAGGTGAGAGAAGAAGTTGATACTGAAAAAAAGTATATGAAAAGGCTTTGAAGGATGCCATAGGAGAAGTGAAAGGATTTGCAGAGAAGGGGAAGAGGAAAGGGTGAGGAAGAAGAAAGGAGGAGGAGGAACAGGTGAAGGATGTGGAAGGAGTGCGCAGTTATTGCAGAGCGTATTGAGAGGGTGCAATGGCATTTATTGAGAGGATGGTGTTATTGCTCAAGAGAGAGAGAGAGGGAGAAAAAGAGAGAGAGACTACATACGTTGAAATTTTTGGGTAAAGGGTATTTTATGAAAGGGATGAGAACTACCAAACTCCAAAGACAATAGTAAAATAGAATCATGAATAATACATTGTAGAAATTTGTTACCGTGAAATAGTGAGGTTATTGTTAATAATAATAATAATATTATTATGACTCAATTTATTCTTTTAAATTTTGATATAGATGAAAACATAATTTCTTGAACTACAAAAAATTTTAATGTTTAAAAATAGCTTCCTCTCTAACAAATATAATAGTCCATAAATATTAGCATGGCTTTTATTTATAAAAAAGATTTTAAAAAAAATTAATATGAAGAGGCCTTACAAATCTAAGAAAATTATTTATATTTTAGACTATTTTACTTACATATCTTGTTTAAAATATTATAACATTTTTTTGTAATATAAAATAATGCATATTTATAGGCATAACACTAAAGTTTTTTTTAAGGGAAATATTAATTTCATTTCATCAAATAAATAAAGAAAAAAATTCTTAAAAGGGATCAAAACTCTTTAATGCTCAAAGAGGTACAACAAAAAAGAAAAAGGAAACCAAATGAATAATAGTCCCCAACTAGGATTAAACTAAAAAAAGAGAAAAAAGAGGTGACCCACAGTCAACCCCAAAAATGACACCAAACATTTTTGCCAAAAAATCTACCAACACTCAAGTTGATAAACTACTAACAAATAAGATGAGGTGAATTGTCACTTTTAAAATTATTATATTTGAGCAAAATGGCCGAATATAAAATAGAACTTTCCTTGTGAATTCTGAATGCTTCCCAAGTATTTTTCAAAACAAATTTGCCAGAAGACGAAAGAGAAAATAAGATAACATCTTTGTCATTATGTTGAAGAGGGATCTCTAAAATTTTATCAACAATGCAAGGAGGAACCATCTCCAAAAGTTTAGTAATATCCCAACCTCCATTGTAAAAAAAATGACCAACTTTAATACTACTTAAATAACAGGTGTTGAGCAAAGTGTCAATAGACGCGCACCCAAGCCAATTATCTTGCCAGAAAAAAATGTCACATTTTCCAAGACCCCATTGAATGTACTTCTCAGCATCCCATTTAATATTGCAAAGTCTCTTCCAAACGAAAGAGTCAGTGTTTCTATGAAAGCATAAAGAATGGTGAATGTTGGAGCAGTACTTAATATTCATGTAGCGAGCCCATAAGCTTAAATTCGATCTAAAAGAGGGATCTCTAATTGCTTTATAAATAGATGATAAATAAAAAATTAAAGTTAATTACTATTAAGCTCAATGTGAATTGATAAATTAATCATCTACACTATAAACATGTTAATTTAACAAAAAGGATTACAAGTCTTTATTATGGATTAATAACTCACTACTGCTTATAGAATTACAGACAAAAATAATAGAAAACCTAAGAGTCAAAGATCCAATCTAGTTACAACCAAAAGAAAAAATAAAGGTCTACAAGAAGCCAAGACAGAAAAATTCAAAGCACATAGCTCGAATTAACTTTTAGTCTACCATATAACAACACCTGATACCCGCAAAAAAAAAAATCTTACAAAATATAGAGAAGCAAAAGTAGTATAGAAAAAGCAAAAGATTAACTGTCTAGCGGGTTTAAATTATTCTTTTGTTACTTTGTTAAATGGGGGGTAATCTTTGTTCTGTTTGGCTTGCCCAGTTTGGCTGTAATCTCATGGATATCCAGGATTTCACTAAGACTAACTGTCCTAAGAGGTTGTTGGGTTTTCTGAAACTTGAGGAGCTGGAGGTGCCTTATGTTTGTAGTTAAGTTGGGCTGGCCGTGGTGGGGGTTTTTGGTGTCTCTGGCTCGTTTTGTATTTCACTTCTGGTGTTTTGATTTGGCTGGGTGGTTCGTCTGGGTTGCTTTTCTGGTTTTGCTTCTTTTGTGTGTCTTGGTGTTGAGGGTTTTGGTGTTTAGTTATACTTTTGGTTGCTGGGTGTTAATGACTGTTGGTCGTGTCTTTTACTTCTTGGTTTCTTTGGGGTTGAAGGTTGCAGGTGGGTTTGGTAATTTTTTGGTGCTGGTTTGTTGGGTCTTTTCCTTTGGGGTTGTCTGTTGTTTAGTTGAGAGCGGGGAGGAGTTGTTTGATGAGCATTTCTTTTGATGTAAGGAGGATTTTGTTTTTCTTTTAGTGAGCAATTTTGAGCTTTTTTCCTGGCATTTTTTTGGGCTGTGGGCTCTTTCTGGGTTCTCTACTAATTCTGTTGGGGGGCTAATGGTGTTCAGCTGCTTCTTTCGATTTTTTATGTTTGTTCTCGGTTGGGGTGTGTTTAGTATTAGCACTCCCTTAGATAGCATGGTTAATCATCTGTTTTCTAATCTTTATTTGTGGAGAATTTTTTGCAGGGTAAATAATTGGTGTTTTCGGGAAAATTTGGAAGATCACAAGGTACGCAGATATTTGATCCCGCACTCTTTTTTCCATTTGGTTGCGATTTTTTGCAGGAAGTTCGTCCTGAATGATATATCCTGGTTCTTCCTTTTTTGGGAGCTGTTGCTTATCAGCCCGATCTTTTATTGGTATTATTTTTGTTTTAGTAGGATAAGGACTGACCGGACCATAGGTTTTCTTTTCTTTTTTTGGATTGTAGCTCCGAGGAGCATTAGGGATCTGGTCGGACCTTCTAAGGACTTTGTAACCGTTTTTTCTAATCAACGCGTAGGCCCCTCTGTGGGTTTTAACTAATATATATATATATATATATATATATAGATCTACTTGCGTTCACAACTCT